CTCCTGCTCTTGGACACGCTTGACTTGCCCACACTTGTGTGGACAACCTTTGGCCTCCCTCCTTCCTCCCTTCCTTCTCCTTTCCTTGAACAAATGCTGAACTAATACAGTGATTATTTGTCATAGCTATATGCACCTGTCTTTAAGGAACTGAGGTACGGAACTCCCTAATGCTGTGGGACAACAAATCTTTTCCTCTTTAATTCATACCTGGGATCCTTGATATTATGGTTTCGAAATCTCATAGTTGAAAAAAAAAAATCCTAATTTATGAGAGACCTGGTTTATAGCTTCTGATTTATACCTCGTACATCATCCTCTCCGTCTTGCTGCTCCTTCCCTGGCGTGGCCGGTGCTCTCCCCTGTGGCACCAGCACCCGAGGGGCTGGGGCCCGTCGTCAGGTCGCTGCAGAAACAGCCCGTGCAGCAGCAAGGGCCGAGTCCCAGCAGGGAAGGTCGGGGGATTGCAATCGGAAGGAAAAAAAAATCCCTACAGTCAGAAGAAAAAAAAAAAGGGCCATGCTTCACAAGATAAAATCGGGGCCTCTTTGGAGTAGCGATGGGTGAAGTCGAGCAGGTTCGGGGTGTGTCAGCACCCCTGAGACCTCTCCCACCGCGTCTGGAGGGCTCAGCCCGCCGTCAGCCGCCGGGCGACACGGAGGGCAGGGGCGAGGGGTGGCCGCCAGCACCCCACAACTGTGGGCAAAGCTGGCGGCGAAGGACCGAATCTACCTGTCCTGCCACTCGGCCGTAACCCGAGGGCCAAGGGCGGCTGGAGTCTGTTTTGACAAGCAGGATGACAAACCCGCACTGGTCGCATCCCCTCTGCAGCCCCCCCGCACACCTCAAAAAAAAAAAAAAAAATCCCCCCGAAAACCGATTGTCTCTCTGCTGCTCCCATTTCATTATTTGGTATTAAAAAAATTACGCACATCGATGCCTCGTGCTCAGTTTTTAGAGAGACAAAGAGAAGCCCAGAAGAGCAGAACCCCATGTCATCACGTTGGGGGCTGCAAGGTGCCAGGACCCAAAGGCATTTCATGCTTTGGAGAAGCGGAGATTGATGGATAGCAACGTCTCGTCGCACCGGCTGGCTTTGAGCAACCTTCTCCTGCCAATACACATCAATCCCGGCGCTCAGCATCCACCTGCTGCCTCGCCGCCGGGCTGCTCCTGTGAGACTCACCATTTTCCCCAGTTGTGTTCAATGATTTCATGACGTGAACAAATGACCACAGGAACCACCAAACACCTCCTGGGTCTTGGCGACAGAAGATGGATATGATGTACTGCCCATCTCCCCCCATCCCTAGTTTCCCACTCTGCCAGGCAGCCAATGAAGTTCGCTTAATTGTGTGTTTCTAATAAAATTCACAGTGGATTTATGTATTACATACACATACACGCTTGTGAAGCTTGAGCTAGAGGCCAGAGAAAACTAGTTTCTACTCTTGTGACAAAAATACACTGCAGAAAAAGGCGAGG